GCCCACGGCCGCTCAGCATCGCACACGTGGCACGAGCAGCATCTGCCACAGCTTCCTACGGCCACGGGGTGGATGGCACCTGCAGCAGCTGCCACCAGATCTCTTTCATGGCAGCACCTCGGTCACGGGTGGAAGCTGGGGAAAACAAGTGGCTCACAATGCTGCAGAAAACACAAAGCCTCCAGAAAAATAATTTTTAAAAAAGTTTTCCCTTTTCAATTAGCTGGGAAAACACAGAGAGGAGGGATAAACTGACTCATTTGTACATATTACACCATTGCCAGGAAATATGTCGGCGATTTAGAAAAAGGGCCTGGTGCAATATAAGAAAGCCAGAAGCTAAAACAAAAGGCATCTTTTTGCTGGCAGGAGGAAAGGATGGGGCTGAACTGTTCTTCAGGGCACCGGTTGCTGTTGTGAGCCATTAAGCCAGCTTGTAATGAACGACAGATTTCCCCTGCTGATTGCTGAGCTAAATCACCGGGTATTTACGGGTTTCCTTCCCACTGCTGCCTGCGCTTTGAGCACCGGCACAAAAGATGCTGCACCTGCAGCAGGATGGATCCTCCCCTCTTTCCACGCCTTCCTCCGCTCCTGCAGGGCACGGGCAGGGGATGGGACCCTGCGATGTGGGGTCCCAGGAGGGGAGCTCTCACACCCCAAACCAGCCACCATCAGCAGCCTTAGGAGAAGGGAAAGACATAAATGCAGTACGAGAGCATCTCGGTTCCCCTGTCTTGGCGTCGAGCCCTGGCTCGGTGCAGCTGGAGCGGTGGTCCTAGCACACCTCTGCGTTATTTGGTAACCCAAGTGCTAATTTTAATGTATTTTCTGGCAGCTGATAAGTGCTGAAGGAAGGGCAGGGCTGAGGAAAGGGCAGCTGCAGCCCCCAGAGAGGCTCAGCGTTGCCCTTGGCTGCAGCAAGCTGGAGCTCAGGGAGAGGTACCCATCCCCTCCCCGGACAAAATCACCTTTGTTCCTCCTGGTAATCTGCTTCCTGACCAACAGGCTGCAGAAACCACCCCAGCCAGGTGAGAAAGAGCAGCCCAAGGACACGGTGCTGACAGGCAGCTCTCCCGAGGGCCGGTCAATCCGTGCCACAGGCTCCAGCCAGCATCCGGAGCTGCGAAGGAGCAGGCATGGAGTGCAGGGTGGAAGAGGGGATGGGAAATGGGGAGCTGGGTCCCCGTGGTCCATCACAGCAAAGGCACTCAATGGGGACCTTTAGCTTTGGGCTACACCTGTAACTCCCTCCCTTTTCTATGTCCCCCCTTGTGATGTTACCTCTCAGGGTTGAAACCTCACCCCGCTCTGGGCTCCCGGCAGCCGGATCCTATGGGACAAGAGCTGCTTATATCCGATGTGTCCGGTGGGACCAGCACTGGCTGGCTTCTCCGCCAGCACTGGGGAATACAGGCAGCCCGCTTCTGCCAAAGCACTGCTCGTGTTAGATGTGCCCGCTGCAGCCACGGTGCTTTTAAATAAAGTCCAGCGAGCTCGAACCAAACCATATGCCATCACTCATATGTGCTTGAGAAGCGGTAACGTGTACGGGGACAGACAGGCGGACAGGGCAGAGGGGATGGGCACTG